CTGCCTTGCTTTGGAGTCATGGAGGAATAGAGGATTGGCCTGGGATTTTTTCAGTGTTTAACTGGAGGATAAGTAAGGAAGAGACATGGGTTTTCCAATTAAATGCCTTAAGGGAGTAATTTAAGCTCATATCTAAACAGCTGAGCCCAGGTTGTTGGAAAGATGAGCAGTCACTTGCCCTGCATTGGAATTTGGTGGTGGTTAGAACTTTTGAAAATTGAGATAATAACGTAGTATTAAGTGTGAAAAAGCCCGATGCATGAAGTAGTTCTGTCTGAACCATTATTTTAGTATTCTTTCCCAGTCACCTTGTGTGTTAGCATAAAGTGTTAGCTCCTGGCAGTATAGTTGTGAGGTAAACCTGTTTCCAGCATTCACTGTTTGGGGGGGGGGGTGAGTGTGGAGTTCCTTTTTTTGTCTTTGAAGGCCACAACCTTCAAAGAAAATTGTCATGGGTGCAAAAGCATTTTAGGCTTTCAGCATCCATCCAAGGGAAGAAAAGAGCTGGCAAAAGCAATCCCTTTCTTTAGTTTCCTTTGCTGATGATCAACCATGTTGGACCCTGGGCAGGAGCAGGGTTTGCAGTTGTTGTCCAGATAGCAGGTCCTGATGTTGGTTTGTCTTGCTGAATTGGAGCAAGAGCTGTCTTGTACTTGGGTCACACCAACCCCCTGCAGCTCCAGGCTGGGACAGAGGGGTTGGAAAACTGGGAAAGACCCGTGGGTGCTGGTGGCAGCAGCTGGACACGAGCCCAGGTGTGCCCAGGGGGGCAAGAGGCCAAAGGCCCCGGGGCTGTCCCAGCCGTGGTGTGGCAGCAGGGCCAGGGCAGTGCCCTCCCTGTGCTGGCACTGCTGAGGCACCTCCAGTGCTGGGGCAGTTCTGGGCCCTCAGACAAGAGAGACATTGAGGGGCTGGAGCGTGTGCAGGGAAGGGAACGGAGCTGGGGAAGGGTCTGGAGCAACAGGAGCGGCTGAGGGAGCTGGGGGGGCTCATCCTGGAGAAAAGGAGGCTCAGGGGGGACCTTCTGGCTCTGCAACTCCCTGACAGGAGAAGGGAGCCAGGGGACAGTCAGGCTCTGTTGCCATGGAACAAGGGACAGGATGAGAGGAAACAGCCTCAAGCTGTGCCAGGGGAGGTTTAGATGGGATATTAGGGAAAATTTCTTGACCGAAAGTGTGTTCAGGCATTGGAATGGGCTGCCCAGGGCAGGGGTGGAGTCCCCATCCCTGGGGGGATTTAAAAGCCATGTGGATGTGGCACTTGGGCACATGGGTCAGTGGTGGCCTTGGCAGTGCTGGGGAATAGTTGGACTCCATGGTCTTGGAGGGCTTTTCCAGACTAAACATTTCTGTGATTCTATGAGAATGCCCCATTCTATGAGAATGGGTTACTTCTCCATTGCTGCTCTTCACATATCAGACTCACCACTTGTTTCCACAAGTCCAACAAGCCCAGAGCAACCTTTGGGAGAAAAGGGATGGACCTAAAATGTCATAAAAAAATGCTCGTTCTTATTATTTGCTGATTAAGGGCAAAGCTGTATAGTTGCCATGAAAACTGTACAATCCTTCTAGAGCAAGAACCCCATTTAGATCACTCTTAATAACAGCTATTAATAATAATTATACATTACAGTAATGCTGATAATTACTAAGTTATAATAAGCAGTTTGCACATCTATTGACTTCTTCTGCTGATGATTCCTCCTTTAATGGTCATAATAATGAGCACAGCATGGGCCCCGTAGAATCATGGGATCCTAGAATGGGTTGAGTTGGAAGGGACCTTCAAGGTCATCTAGTTCTAACCCTCTGCCATGGGCAGGGACACCTTCCACTAGACCAGGTTGCTCCAAGCCCCATCAAATGGAAATTTGATGTTGATCTCTATTAATTATCATTAAGGAATGTATCTGGGATCTGGGAATCCTTAGTGCTAAGCCAACACAGATCCAAGGGGTTACCACTCCATGAAGAGCTCTCAAGAATGTTTCTTTGCTCCATGTGGGAAGATACCAACTGCCTTGGTGCTCAAATGTGGGTTTGGGTTTTTCTTTCAAAAGCTCTTTTTTTTGTACATGTTTTGAGGGTGAGGCAAGAGGGGAAACCTGCTTTTGGGCACAGAGGTTTCCTGACTCATGGCACCAAAAGAACAGGAGACCGTACAGTTCTCATGTCATGAGGAAACTGGGGTGGAGAGGGTTGATCTTTTAAATGGGAGAGAAGGTTTAGTGTTAATGGGGAGAGTAAACCTTTGCAGGTGGACTTGAATTGGTCTGGATCTTGGTGGATGCTTCCCTTCCCAAGATACCTCCTGCCAAGGAGGAAGGGCTTCCAAAGGTGTTCCTTTGAAAGGGCCAGGCAGCTTCAAAGAGGAATCATCCTGTAGGACCCAGAAAATGGGCCTCTATAAATCTTTGATCGTCTTGGTTGGGTTTTCTCAAATAGGTTTTACAGACACACATCTCACACTTGGTAGATTTAGGTAGAGCCCAGAATTCAGTGGGTAACACCTGAAAAAGCTTCCAGAGGATGGTGGCCAAAACAGTGCTTGTCTGAGCTCTGGGACATCCCTGGGCAGGCTGGTGGCATTGGAGAGGGCAGCTGCATGCAAACTGGTAAAAATCTAAATCTGAAATGGGTGAGAAATGGGTTGGCTGACAGTGCATATTGGCAGCAGCACCGGCACATCGGGATGTCGATCTCTGTGTCATTACAGAATTCACAACAGCTTGGTGCAGACTAAACACGTAAAAATGATTACAGACTGTGACTGTGTTTTTTTCTTATTGTAAGGATTAGATGACAACCACCTCACTGTCCATGCCTGGACACCTGCACCAAGGGATCTTTGTGTACAGTGATGATCCTGTCTCAGGTGTAGGTGGTAACTCACGACCCTTAGACCTAGGGGAGTTTTCTTCCTGATAAGTGATGGTTTTCTTTAGAGAGATGTGATGGTATTGCAAGATGACTTGGTCTCAGAGTTTCCTACTAGAGATCCATAAATATCTCAAATATGTGGTTTGTGCTGTTTTGTTGTACCTGGTGACTTCTGACAAACCCACTCCCTTTCAGTTCACCGTCTCTGCTGTTGCTAATCACAAAATGTTGGTTGGACACAGCAGTGAGCACCCCAAAAGTGGAGGCATGCATTAGCCCTTCCTCTACTTTGTGCTTTATCGTGGGTGTTCAAGGGGGAGCATCCCCAGGGCTGTATTTCCTCCAGAGCCACCTTCAAAAAAAAATTAAAATAGGCAAAACAACTTCAGGCTTTGTAATGTGTGGCCCCAGGGGATGCAGGGATAACCTTTGACCCTGCTTGCACCATCCCAAGTTATGCCATGATGCCACCTGTCCTCTACCTCATGTGGTCATTTCTCATGCCATCACTCATGGGAACCTCCTATTCTCCCAACTCTTTCTTTAGCACTTTCTATTTCATAATTTGTTCCTTCTATTTGGTAATTTGCACTAATTAGCAAAAAGGGTAGAAGCATGCCCTCCTCCAGGGCTCCACACTCTCTGGGGCTCCTCCTTTTTTATTTCTTGACTTATTTCTTTTTTCTTTCTCCTTTTTAATGTGCCACATGATTTTTGTTCAGGAGCTAATGTGTGATATTGATCTACATAATGAGCCTTTTTGACAGTCTGGGCACATTTGGGAATAATTCCTTGAGAAGAAGAAATCCTTAGGCCAGAACTGCTCGTTCTTGGCAGTTTCCAAATGAAGCCACAATTGTTCAGAAGTGACAGATGAGAAAATAGTTCAGGAGCTGGAAATTACATGAGCTGGGAGCAGATTTACTTTTTTTCCCCCCTTCCCTTCCGGATGGCATGTGGCTCACTCTGAATTTGCTTAGTAATATTATACTTGTCTCAAAGCAGACTGTAAATACCAGCTCCTGGTGAAGAAGAGGGTGAGGGATGAAGTTGCTGTGTCCTGGGGAGCTCTGTGTCTTCTCCCTCCCTGCTGCAGGGAAGGAGGAATATGAGTCTTACCACAAGACATTCATCCAAAGCTTAGTTCTTTCCAGACATAGAATCACAGAACATCCTGAGTTGGAAAGGACCCACAGGGATCATCCAGTCCAACTCCTGGCCCTGCACAGGACAACCCCAACAATCCCACTCTGTGTCTGAGAGCATTGTCCAAACACTCCTTGAGCTCTGTCAGCCTTGGGGCTGTGCCCACTGCCCTGAGGAGCCTGTTCAGTGCCCAACCACCCTCTGGGGGAAGAACCTTTTCCTGAGATCCAACCTGACCCTGCTCTGACACAACCTCAGGTCATTCCCTTGAGTCCTGTCACTGGTTACAGAGAGCAGAGAACAGCAACATGCCCGGCACAGGTCCAGGAGCTGGTGGTTTCTTTTCTTTCCTGTGTGATTGGCACTGAGCCCTGGAGAAATAGGGAGAGGACAAGAGCATCATAAAGGCCCTATGTCTTCTGTAGAGCCACTCTCCCGCAGTGAGAGGTTTTAAAAATAAATTTTGTTGTGCTCTCTGTTTCACCTCCCTGCTGGACCATTTGCAGTCACACCACCGAGTCAGCATAATTTACTGCCACGGTCCTAGAGAAGCGTTTCAGTTATCATCTTCTTCCTACCCCTCCTCCATCATTCACGGCTTCTCACCCTTATCCAGGATATTAAATGTGGACTTATTAAATTAAGCATTTTAGTTTTGGTTTTCTTTCGTGCATGTGTCTGGTGGTTTTCAGCAGTGTGTTTTTTAAGAAGGAAGGCAGGAAAAACGTTAGTCGTCCTCAAATGTAGGAATATTACAGAAATGGAACGCCTGGAAACTCTAAATTTGACCACCTAGGATTATGATAAATGCAGATGTACAGCAAAAAAAAGAAAAAAAAAATATCCTTTCCTGTGGTAACCGACGGGCTTTGGCTGTTGATTGGTTTTTTGGGTTTTTTTTAACTTTTCTTGTAATTACTGGGAAATATTCTCCTTACCCTTTTTTTTTTTTTTTCATTTCGCTTTTTCCAGGCCCGCTCCGTTCTTGGTGTGTCTCCTGAAGGGATGGAGAACTCGTCGGTGGCGTCGGCCTCCTCGGAGGCAGGGAGCAGCCGCTCCCAGGAGATCGAGGAGCTGGAGCGCTTCATCGACAGCTACGTCCTGGAGTACCAGGTCCAGGGGCTGCTGACGGACAAAACGGAGGGGGATGGCGAGAGCGAGAAGACACAGTCCCACGTCTCACAGGTGGGAGAGGGGCTGTGGGGCTTGTGGCTTGGCGTGGGGATGCGTGTCACGGCTCAAGGAGCTTTTCCGGGTTTTGTACGTGAAGGAGAATAGGGTGGAACGCCGGATGCGGGGCAGCTTGGTTGTCTGGTGGTATTTATGGAGATAGATAGATACAGGTGCAAATATAGATACAGATATAGATGTGTATATAGATAGATACATATAGATATAGATATATGAATATATATACACATGTATATACACACATATATACGCGTGAATATATATAAAAATACACATGTATGTATATGCGTGTGTGTGTGTGTAGATATATATATTTACTTACATATATGTATATATGAGGTCTCCATCCAGTTGGTAGCGGTCTCCTGATGCTGGGTTTTGGGTTTTCAGGATCTTAGTGGTCTCCTGTTACTGGGTTTTGGGTTTTCTGGATCTCAAAGGTGCGTCCCTGGAAGTGTCCAAGGCAAGGTTAGATGGGGCTTGGAGCAACCTGGTCTAGTGGAAGGTGTCCCTGCCCAAGGCAGAGGGGGTGGAATGATGGCCTTTAGTGTCCCTTCCAACCCAAACCATCCCATGATTCTTATGAAGGATCCCATCTTTGTCTGATATCAGCAGCATTTCTCTGATTTGTCTGGGCTGTGCTCAGCTGGAGCTGAGGGTCTGACCCACAGCTCTGGACCTGGTTTGTATTATCTCAGTGTAAAGAAACTGCCAATCAAAGGAACCTTTTCAAGAATAGATTTTGCTGAAGAGGTCTTTTACAATTTGAGGATTGAAGCTGCTGAAAGTGTGAGAAAATAAGTTTAAGAATCTAGTGATCCAAAGTAGTACTTCATAGTGCATTTTTTTTAACCCAAGGCTGGAAAATGTCTGTGTTTGAAGTGACACTTTGGAGGGGCTTCATGTCCAACAGGCAAGTGCTGCTTATTAGCATGTCAAGACTGGAAAAAGTTGTGAATTAGAACTAATTTAATAGACAAAGTTTTACAACCTCTTCCAGCCTGTCCACAGCTCTGCCAATAAGCCTGGGCTCCCTCTGCATCTTGAGGACAAAAATTCCTAATTCTTGTGGCAGCCCATGTACAATTTTTGCATTAAGATCCTTGATTGCAACAACCAAATCCATCTTCCATTTGTGGAAATGGGATTTTAGCTTTCCTTCCTGGCCTGCACTGAAAAAAAAGGAGGTGTTGGGCTTCTAATGTCAGTTCTGAGAGTGTTCCCTTTCAAGATGGTTAGGTTTTACTTTAAAAGAAAAATTCATAATAATGAAAGATCTGAACGTGGAACCTCTTAATTAAACCACTTTTAGAGGCACCTCAAATGAAGCAGCTAAGTGTGATTGTACCCCAGACCATTGGTGTAGGAGTTTAATTAAGATTTGTATGTGAAGCTTCATCAAAATGTGATATTTCGTATTTTTGGGGCTGTATATCGGACAGAAAGTGAGGATGGGCTTTTACATAAGTCACCTGCATTTATCAAGCCATGTCTCAATGGATGCGTTAAGGAATTATCTCTTATCTCTCAAAGATTTTTATTTTTACCACCTTGTATCCCAAATTTTTATAGGAAAGAATCAGGAATTTTTATTCCCGATTTTCTCTTCCTGTTCACTACTTAGCAAAGCAAGGAACAAACACACATATATCCTGCAGCTGGCTGGAGTAATCCTAGTGGAAGCTATCCTGATAGAAGGTGGCATGTTCCCTCTTAATGAGAGCTAGAGGAAGAAGGATGGGTTTAGGGGAAAGGCACTGGACTGAGACCAAGAAATTTGGTTTTAACTGCCAGGATCTGCCAGCAACTAAATCTTTAATGTTGGGCAAGTTACTTAATCTCTCTGTCGTTTGTTTCCTTATGGCTGCAATGATGTTCTCCCTGCCTGAGAGAGGATAAATCCATTCACCCGTGTGTGAGAGTTGCTCGGATGGTACCACATCCATGGGCAACTGCTCTCTGTGCTGGGGGAGGGAAGGGGAGGCATGCTGTGCAGTGCTTCATCCTTCACACCACTCCCAGGGGGGAGCTGAACCCATCACCAGTTTAGAGAATCACAAAGTGTGGATGTTTCCAGTCTCGCTCCCACTAGGGAAAAGAGGAGAGTCAGAGAGAAAATACAGTTTTATTTTGGTTGTGGACGTAATAGTGAGTGAGCTGTACCTCGAGAGAGGCATGTGGTGGCACTCAAAATTATTAAAGGAGATAGGCACAGGTCTAGCAGGAGGCTCTCAAGAGTGGTGGCACCATGAGCCTCCCCAGTTGGGTCATCAGAGGTGTCAGGAGACTGATGGGTGGCTCTTTAATGAGGGGAGACTGAGGTCTCCCCATCTGTGATCTAGAACAGGCTCTCTGACAAGGGCAGGAATCATGGGCAGTTCTAGTGGTGACTTATTTTGTGGCTTCATCCATACCTGTCACGGAGCTCTCAGGTTTGTGTGGAATTGACTTCCATTTTCTTGGAGCATTGCCCTTGGTGATGGTGCCAAGTGCTGAGTCTCTTACGGAGCAGCCACGTGGTTCCAAGAAGGACCTCAGAAATGGGGCTGGTCACTCTCAATTTTGTTGGGGTAGTGACAAAATATCTTTAGGATTAAGCAGCATCTCTCATGTTTGTCAAGTGAAAGTTTCCCTTTTTTTTAATTTTTTCCCCCAGTATGATGCTGCCCTTCATTTCTTTTGAGGGGAAAAAAGAAACCAAAACCTAACAAATGATCCCAAATTCAATTATTCTGTTGGAGGCACCTTACTGTCAAACCTTGGGGGAAGCTGGCCTAAGCAGCTCATGATCCTCTGTGGCCACATATGGCAATGGCCAAACCTACTGCTTCGAGCCTCACTTTCTGTTTTGTTTAAAAATAAAAACACAGGGTTTTGACAGCTCAGGACTCATGTCTGTCCCTGAAGCAAACAGAGTTAGGAAAAGCAGAAATTTCCCAACTTCCCATGGAAGACCTCCATGGAAAAGAGCGATTAAGTCAAGCCTCCCTGGTGTGTACCACCTGAGATTCCAAACACTGTCTGAGTCCGCAAGGAAGCGTCTGGGATGGGTTTTATTGCAAAGCATCATTTCAGGTGCTTCCCTACGATTTTTCCTGTATCTTCCCTCTGTTTGCTGGTGCCGGGTGGAGCGTTTCCAAGCCAAAGCCTTTGGGATCATCCTCAAAAAGGAGGGGGTGCCACGGGCGTACAGCGATGCCCGCGGCTGCACGGTGTTTTCTGTGCACTCTGGACTGACACAGCAGTTTTCCCCAGCCTGGCTATTATTTTACACAATCCCCTTTTTTATCCCTTTTGCAGTGGACGGCGGATTGTAGCGAGCAGCTCGATGGCAGCTGTTCCCCATCCCGAGGGAAGGGCTCGTCGTCTCACGAACACAACCAGGTAGGGCTTGTGTTTAGTTCTTTCCTCCCCAGACCTTCTCTTTTATTCCTGCACTGCCTCGTCATGCAGCACGGAGCCTGCCTGTGCTGCCAGCTTTCCCTCTCCCATGGAAGGGGAGACGTGTCCCTCTGCTTGGCATCTGAAAGCTCATTCCTGCCAAAACCATGGGAGGTGGGCGACGTCCTGATGTGTGGATGGATGCTTTGACCAGGAGCTTATTGCTCTGCAGTAAAGAGGAAAAAATAGAGAGTCTCCCATTTATTCCTGAAGAGCTTCTTGTTGCCACCTGTGTGAGGGATGGATTTGAAGCATCAGAGCTGACTTGGAATTATGAGATGTAGCTGGAGCGAGGGATCTCTGTGTAGCTGTATGTCTTGGTTATGTGCTGCAGCACAAGGATGGTGTTACAGGGAAGAGGATTAAATAGCTGAGAGGGTTAACTGGGAGAAGAAGCAGAACTGCATGTGCTGAAAGGCTGCATTGGGCGTGCAGTAACAGAAGCCAGGCATGAGTTGGTTTTTGGTGGTTGTATGTGGTGTAAACACCAGTGAAGAGTATTTACCAGGCACTGCTGGAGGTGACTGTCCCTCCTCTATGTGAGCACCCATGTGGGAAAGGGTTGGGAGGAGTAGAGGCATGGGTTTGACCACTGTCACCTGGCTGAGGAGCTGCAGTGTCACCATGAGACCATCAGCTCTGTGAGAGCAGCGTTTACCCAAGGAGATATGAGACCCAGGTATCTCAGGAAGGGCAAAACAGCATTTCCAGTTGCCCTGGTTGATGGATGTCCCTCCTGGAGAAGAGGCTTCAGGCTGATGGGTTTTGTGTTCTTGCCCTGCTTGGTGTCCTCCAGGTTCATCCCCATAGGTGAGATCCATGAGAAGGAACCTGGGAGCCCCTTGCAGGGTGTACAAGAGTCTGTGCCTGTCTGAGCAGTGTGTGTCACAACTCTCATTTTGGGCACAGTTTCTTCACACATTGAGCCATGCTGGAACTCCTTGGATTTGGGATGGGGGCTCATGCATCCCCTCCCTGCCACAGGCCTGGATGCAGGGATGCTGGGAGCATCCAACCTGCACCCAACAAAGACAGGATCTTGTGTAGGAAGGTTGTACTGAATGGAGACACTGCTTCAGGTGAGCCTCTGAAGGTGCTAGATGGAACTGTGGGTTTAATTTTCTATAGCTTTGATCTGCTCCGAAATATTCAGCAGCAGAACCTCATCCAGGCTCCCTCCCAGCGTTGCAGACAGATGCTTGATACTCAGCTGGGAGGTTGGCCTTGTCCATCGAGCCTCCTTGGGTGGCTTGGGGTGTTGGCAGGACCACGTGCTTTCCATGGGGAAGAATCCAATCCTGGTTCTTCACCCATGGGTTCTGTTGGTGTGGATTCTGCAGGAGGATGCAGGAGTCGTGCACGGGTGATACTTCTCTGGCATCTTCCATCTGCCTGGTGCTATGGGCTCTTTGGTTTCAACTTACGTGGGTTTTGGGGGGTTTTCTTCCTGGATTTTTTTTTTTTCCTGGGAATTAAACCTATTTGATCTGCACCAACACGGAGCTTCTTTTCCACACACAAATACCATTTGCTGATGCCGAAGCTGTTTACCCGGTGTTTGGGCTGTCTCCCAGCCTGCAGCAGAGCTAGTAATTATCTTTCTCCATGTTTGGCTTCCTTTAACTGTGAGTAACAAATTTTCCTTGGCACCAAAGAGGAGCTGGAAGCTATTGTTCTTCTGTCCAGCAAGCATTTCTCTTGCTGCTACTGATATATGAGTGAAATGCTGCTGGTGAGGACCAGGTGCAGTTTATTACCATTTCTGGCTGTTGAGTTTTTGCTAGTAGCTTTCAACATTTAAAAAAAAAAATCAATCATTAATAAGGTGTTTGTCTTGAATGAAAATTATCAGTCACTCTTCAAACCTCCTAAGGAAGAAGCTGACTAATTATTTCCCAATGGATGTAGGGGGTGGGGTTTTTTTGTTTCGGTTTTTTATGGATTTCGAGGGGTTTGGACAGAAAACTGAATTCCTAATTTTCCTATTGTGTTTCCAGCTGATATTTCTGCATTGCTGGTCTTAGTTGAAAAATACTTGGATGTGAGATTTCTGCTGGCTTCAGCTACTGTGGAAATGTGGGTTATGTGTCGGTGACCGTGATATGCCTCACGTGGTTCTAACCTGGCCATCAGAAAGGGCATTTGTATGGAAATCTAGGTTAGTCCTGGAAATATATGCAGCATCTGGTTCATTTTCTGTGAAGGCAGAGTAGTCCAGGGCTGCATTTTCAAAAGTAATTGGCTTCCTAAAGGTTATAGGGGAGCCTAGAGAGAAGCAGTGCCTGAAAATCCCCCTATACATCCCTAAGTACCTGATACCTTTGAAATTCTGGTCTGTAGGATCCAGCAAGGTTAAGACAAACAAAAGGAAGATTTTTTTCTTTTTTAGTGTGTATAGTTGTATACTGTATTTGTATAGACATTTATATTTAGAATGTCTGTATATAAGCATCTACTGATTATTGTATAAATGTGGGGCTGAGAGTGATTTCTGAATAATAGGGATTAAAATTAGGTATCTTGGTGCAGCTTGAAGTCCAGGATATTCCTAAATTGCTGTTTTTCTGGTATTGTTGGGTATATCTGGGAAAGAGCATCCCAGACTTGTCCTGCTCTTGCACTACTTCATGAGACATCTGTTAGCAGCTGTGGGAGACTATATGGATGTCAGTTCCCATAGTCTGGCAACTAAACAGTAGCTTAAAAATGGAGAAAACCCCCCCTGGAAAGCCTTTTACTCTGGTCTTTCCAGTCCTCTGGGCAGGTGGCTGTGAGAAGATGGTCTGCTCATGGGGGAATGTCCTGAGATTTATTTTGTGGACTCCTGGTGTGCTGAGAACATCCTGGTCTCACAATTACGTTCAGCTCATCTGTAACCCCCTCTGTGTTTGAGTGATGCTCCCCAGAAGCTCTGCTGGGTCTCACTCTGTGTGAGCCTCTCGGGTGGAGACCACTCCATCGAGCTACTTCAGATGTTATCTGAGCACCTTATTCCCTCTACAAGTGAGAAAAGTTTAGGTAATGGAATCATTTTAAATCCTTTTATGTTTGGATTTTTTTTTCCCCCCAAAAAGACCCAGTGGGAAGATTTTATATAATACTTTATTTGCATTCCCCTTGTGAGGCTGTGGCAAGTAGGAAGCTCTTTGATATATTTCTGAGAGCAATTCATTAAGTAAAAGACTTCTGGTATGGTACGTATTTCAGGAGCTCTTGGTACATGAAAGGCCTGGCAGCAGCTCCATCCCAGGCTCCCCTTGTGTAAAGGTCATTAAGAAAAAACAGGGCAACTCTGCAGGTTTGTCCCATTTCTCCAGGCGGTGGGAGAGGGAGAGCTGCAAATCCTTCTTCCTGGCCAAGTCCATCCCTTCCCCCACAGTGGCTGTTACCCACCATCACCAAGAAAAAACCCGTGTTGTTGGCAGTAAATGGGACTGGCTTTTATTCTGCTGCTTGTTTGCCTGTGTGTCCATGTCCCACCAAGGGCAGTGGGGACTCTGTGCATGATTTGGGACCTCAGAGGCTTCTCCAGTTGATGGTCATGTTGCCAGTCCACTGAGCAGCAGAGGAACAGGCTGGGTGTGTGGATCACATCTGGATTATCCTACACCTTGCTCGTAGCACACTTCTTCTGTCCTCCCTGAGGAGCTGGTGGTGGAGGAGATGACTTGGTTTGCCATTTAATAGGAATATTAAACCAGTAGAAACAGAAGCACTCTGGTGGCAGGATGAGGTTGTGGGTTTCAACTCTTGGGCCTTGATTGAAGTTGATTAGCTGGCTGGAATCATGAGCATCCCAAGGGCTGCGCTATCATAAGATTTCTGACAAGGGCCTGGAGTAACAGGATAAGGGGGTTTGGCTTCACACTGAGAGAGGGAGGAGTTAGGTTGGATATTAGGAAGAAATTCTTGGCTGTGAGGGTGGTGAGGCCCTGGCACAGGTCACCCAGAGAAGCTGTGACTACCTCTGGATCCCTGGAAGTGTGCAAGGGCAGGTTGGACGAGGCTTGGAGCAACCTGGGACAGTGGGAGGTGTCCCTGCCCGTGGAAGGGATTGCAATGAGATATCTTGAAGGTCCTGTCTCTCCATGCCCTAGGCATGTAGTCATGGCTACATGAAAAAGCTGCTATGTTGCCAAAGCAAAGGCAATAGTAGGTGTGGGGGGGATGTGTGAAGGTTGTCTCTTGGGAAACAGCAGTTTTCAAGGCACAGTGTAACTTAGTTTTATGGAGAGTGGAAAAACCAAATTATCCGTGCAAATTTCTCTTGCAATTCCAGAGAATTATTATTTTTTTTTTTTTAGCAGGCATTAGTGCTGCTTGGCTTCCTGGATTCAAACACCAGGAAATCCTCCCTGATGGATGCTGCAGAGGCAGGTGGCAAGGAATCGTGGTCTTGGATAGGCACCCCCTCACTAGGTCCAGAGTTGGACTGAGGCTCCTGTGACGAGATCTGCTGTCACATAAACTTCTGAAGTCAGCAGGGAAGTTGTCTTGCTGGCTTAAATCCACTGACATCAGCAGGCAGCGTGTAATGCCCCAAATCCTTGGCTAACCAGACCAGCGCTGGAAAGTGAGTGGGCTGGCAGGACCTCTGTGAACAAAGATGTAATTCATTTCCCCCTGCTGGTAGACAGCCTGTGTCTGACTTGAGTTGCCCATCCTTGGGTCTAGATCTGAAACAAAAATGGAGAGGTATGATCCCAGGGGCAGTTTGGGGTTTTCCATCTCATTGACATGCTCGTACCGTAGCCCAGAGCCAGTCTGTACAATGAATTTGCTTGAGGTTGGCCACCACACTGAAGGCCTGTTGGGACAGGTGGGTGCTGGCAGATGCTGCAGTTGCTGTTGAGTTGTTTCCAAAAAGAAAAAGGGAAAGCAAAAGACATACACTGGCTTTGTCAGACAATATATGTTGGTGTATTCCTGCCTGATGGAGGACA